TATTTATTTGCTGTTTTCACTTCTTTGTCTGAGAAATGCCTGTTCATTTCAGATGCCCATTTTTGAATTGGATCTTTATATACGGGGACTTGATTTTTCTTTAGCTCTTTATATACTCTAGATAGTAGACCTTTGTGAAACAGCTGGTAAAATTTTTTTCCCACATTGTAGGCTGTCTCTTAGCTCTGTTGGTGGTTTCTCTTGCAGTGAAAAAGCTTTTTAAAAAGATGAGATCTCGGTTTTTGATTATTTGTGCTAGTTCCTGTGCTACAGAGGATTTGTTCATAAAGTCTTTTCCTATGCCAAAGTCTTCAAGAGTTCTACCTTGCATATCTTCCAACAAATTTAGTGTTTCTGTTTTGATATTTAGATCTTTAATCCACTTCAATTTTACTTCAGTGCATAGTGAAAGATAGTGGTCCAGTTTTAATATTTGGCAAAGTTGAAATCCAGTTTTTCCAACACCATTTATTGCAGAAGCCATCTTTCCTCCGGTGAGGATGGTTGTTTCCTCTGTCAAAGATGAGGTAGCTGAGTATATCTGAAGTTGGTTCTGCATCTTCTAATCTATTCCACTGACCCTTGGGTCTGTTTCTTTGTCAATACCATGTTGTTTTTATCACAGTGGCTTTGCAGTATGGTTTCAAGTTGGGGATTGTGATACCACAGGCCATGCCTCTGTTGCCTAGAATGGCTTTTGCTTTTCTAGGTCTCTTCTCATTCCAGATGAATTTTGGATTGTTTTCTCTAGTTCTGTGAAGTTTACTATTGGTATTTCAATAGGGATTGCATTGAATCTGTATAGCTGTTTGGGAAGTATGGCCATTTTCACTCTGTTAGCTCTTCCTACTCAGGAACAAGGGATATCTTTCCATTTTCTTATATCCTCTTCAATCTCTTCTTTCAGAGTGTTGTAACTCTCAATGTAGAGGTCTTTTGCTTCCTTTGTTAGACTGATTCCTAGATATTTCATTTTTTTGGATGCTATTGTGAAAGGGATTATTTCCCTAATTTCTCTCTCAGTGAGTCTGTTATTTGTGTACAAGAAGGCTATTGATTTTTGAGTGTTTACCTTGTGTCTATATGCACTACTGAATCTGTCAATTAAGTCTAGAAGTCTTTTGATGGAGTATTTTGGGTGTTCTGTGTAGAGTATAATATCATCAGCAAATAATGACAGTTAACTTCTTCCTTTCCTATCTTTATTGTTTTTATTTATTTATCTTGTCTCGTTGCTGTGGCTAATGTTTCCAAAACTATATTGAACAGGAGTGATGAGAGTGGACATCCTTGTCTTGTTCCTGATTTTAACATGGAGGTTTTCAGTTTTTTACTATTTTGTATGTTGTTGGCTGTTAGTTTTTCATATATAGACTTTATCAAATTGTACTAAAAAACCATCTATTCCCATTTTATAAGGGATTTTCATCATGTTATATTTTGTAATGCTTTTTCTGCATCTATAGAGATTATCATATGGTTTTTGTCCTTGACTCTGTTAATATAATGTATTACATTATTGATTTATGTATGTTGGACCATCCTTCCATCCCTGGGATAAATCAACTTGGTCAGGGTGTATGATCTTCTTGATGCCCCTGTGTATTCTCTTTGCCAGTATCTTATTGAGAATTTTTGCATCTATGTTCAATGGCAAGATTGGCCTATAGTTCTCATTTCTGATTGGGTCTTTTCCTAGTTTGGGAAACAAATTAGCACTTGCTTTCAGAAATGCATTTGGAAGTATTGCTTACTTTTCATTTTCATTGAAAAGTTTAAAGAGTAGTGGCAGTAGTTCTCCTGTAAAGTTTTTGTAGAATTTATCAGTGAATCCCTCAGAACCTGGGCTTTTCTTTGTTGGTAAATTCTTAATTACTTTTTTCAATTTCACTGATTATAAATTGGCATGTTTAGAATTTTGATATCTTACACATTCAACTTTGGAAGTTCATATGTTTCTAGAAATCTGTCCATTTCTTCTGTTTTTCTCCATTTTATTAGAGTACAGTTTCTCAGAGTAGGTATTGATGATCCTTTGGATTTCTGCAGGATCTGTTGTGAATTCATCTTTTTCATTCCTAATTGCATGGATTTGAGCCTTTTCTTCTTTCTTCTTCTTTTTTTTTTTGATAAGGTTGGCTAAGGGTTTGTCAATTTTATTTCTTCTTTTGAAAAACCAACTCTTTGATTCATTGATTTTTGTTTGTATCATTCTTAGTCTCGCTTGCACTGATTTCAGCTCTGCTCTTTATAATTCCCTCCCTTGTATGAGTACTGAGTTTGTCTTGCTCTTCTTTTTCTAGAAGCTTAAAATTCAGCATTAGGTTGGTTATCTCTGTTTTCCTAGTAACTCCTCTATTTTTAAGAAACTGTGTCCAACTGTTTTTATATCCCCACAGTTAAATGGCTTACTTCTTGAAAATGAGAACTGCATTTCTTAGTGTACTTTTCTAACCAAAAAAAAAAAAAAAGAGAAAATGTTCAGTTTGATCACTTACCTCAGATTTTATTCATTAAGTAAGCTAAAGAAGCTCAGACTCTGAAACAGGGAATTCAAATATCACTGAATAAATATTTAATAAATGTTGATATGTGCTAAATGCCTGCTGTCATTGTTGAGACATATAAATGCAAAAGAAGCCAGGCATGGTGGTGCATGCCTATAATCCCAGCACTCTAAAGGCTGAGGGAGGAGGATGGCTCTGAGTTCAAGATCAGCCTGGGCTACATGGTGAGTTCCTGGTCAGTTCAAACTACATAATGAGACCTTGTCTCAAAAAAATAAAAAGAAAAGAACAAGATTTTTAGATATTGGACTAATTTTCACTCTACCCAAGTAAGATTAATGTTGCTTTAATGAAAAAAAATGACATAATAAGAATTGACTTTATCCTTTTAAAAAATGAAGAAATATGGGCCAGGGATTTAGCTCAGTGGTTCTTCTGTCTGCCTCACAATCACAAGATCCTGAGTTGATCCCTGGTAGGAAGAAGGTGAAGGAGGAGGAGGAGGAGGGGGAGAAGGAGGAAGAGGGGAGAAAGAAGGAGTAGAAGAAGAAAATGAGGAGGAGGAGGAACAACAACAACACAAATATATTCCATTTTAAAAGAATTTTCTATGGAACATGCCTATTATGTGGATAGGATGAAGAAGGGGAACCATTTGATCTTATATTTAGACTTCTGACCTAGTCGTCAAATTCAGACATTATAATGTTGTGTTTATGTTGTTTAAAATTTAAAAATTAAAGCTGCCAATTTTAGAATCCCTTGTTTCTTCATTTTTATATTAATGGCCTTAGAAAATAGAAATGGCCTGGGAATTCCCAACCCTGTGAAGTCATGCTTCATGGTACTATTATGCACATCTAAAGCTAAATATTAATAGTGGAAATGACATCTATCATATTAAGTAATAAAAGCTAATTAAACTTCCCTTATTTCACTATTGAGATAAATATGTTCACTGTAAATGCTGATAAGAACTTTTCTTTAGAATCTTTTCAAGTGAATCTGATCTATTTTCCTGCTGTTTCCAAGCTTTTTGGAAATGAGTGTGCTTGCATTCCCCTGGATGGAACATTTCTGTGGAATTAATCAAACAGGATATTCAATGTCCCTGCAGATAATTTTGGCCATAATCCACTGGGAAATTTATTGACTAAGTTTTCATCTTCGCTGGGAAAAGACTCATGTGTTCCAAATCCTCAGTCTTTTCTCTACTTATTACTGAAGGATAGTATAGTGTAACTACTATATATAAAATTATTAACAATGTTATGTGGGAAAAATTCATCACTAAAATAAGAGAAAGCAAAACTGTAAGAGTAACAGTTAAAATGTAGTAAAAAAAACTGGCATCAAAGTGCCTTTAGAAAGCACCATAATTTTACTAAAATTTAAATTTTTATTTGAATTGAAGAATTGGAAAATATTCACAGATCCTAGAATATTTCAGAAAGTTCAGAAACTATAAACCCCATTTTTTAAGAAAAAACAGTGTTGTTACTCCTTCTGGTAATAATGAAAATTTCATGTTAAATACCTAATTATAAACATTTAAAACTCCATGCTTTGTTTCTTAATAGTGTTTCTAAATTTATAAATAATGTGAATTCTTATCCTACTCCTGGCTTCATGTTTCATAACAAATTTTCATTCTGTAAGAAGTTGATGCTTTTATTCATGTTATATACATGTAACTTTGGCTCTAAAGTCTGAGGGAGTCTCTTAAATTTTTTTCTACCCATAATGATTTTATCTGTACTTGTACACCTGGGCACTTCCTCAGCAGTAGGCACAAAGACCTAATACATATATTGAATCTGAACTGCTGAAGAGTTTTTGTGGTTGTTTGTCAGTTTGGTGAGGGACATTTAAGTGGAGATGTCCAGGAGACTGAAGCTAGCAGCAAATAGTACTTGGAGTCATTATCAAAATTAGAGTTATTGAAGCCAGAGATAAAGGTGTTATTACAACAGAGGGTATATGATTCAGGAAGACCCCAGGATTTATATATAAAATCCTTTATTAGGCATGCAGTAAAGACTTCAGACATAAAAAAGAAATAATGGACTAGAAAATAGCAAGGTACTTGATTATTTCTATTTAAGTTTGAATAAAAAGAAGTCTCCTTTCCACCAAAATCCATCACAATTATTCAAGATGGTAAGTGATTACAGTAAAAGCACTATTAACAGGTCATATTTATGTCCCTGAGATGAAACCATGCTATTTTAACAAACATCATATTCTCATTGACCTCACCATTAGCTCACAATGAATACAAGATGTTTTTCTTGATCTCACTTGGTGCTTTTCTAATTTTTTTGAAAAATATACAATAACCGCCAAGACGAAAGGGTAGTCTTTCCTAAATCACTCCAAGCATCCATGACTATGAGCGTGTTTTCCAAAGTTGGTAGATATTTTTTCACTTAATAAAATATAAATTCATTCAAGTGCTAGACTCACAGGGTTTATCATTTTCTTATTTGAAAGGATCAAGACAAAATGACAACTCAGTTTGGTTGTCAACACTGCACAGCATCACTTCTTGGGAAGAAGTATGTACTAAAGAATGACAGCCCATACTGTGTTTCTTGTTACAATCATATCTTCTCTAATTATTGTGAAGCATGCAAAGAACCAATAGAATCCGATTCCAAGGTAGGTCTCACCACAATTCACAGAATGACTGCTTATGTGTGGCAGAGAAGTGCCCTGGAATGCCTCCCTTCTCTGTTGACCTTTAACACTATTTCTGGGCTACTGTATATAAGAATCCTAAAAGTTATCATTAATCAAGTCCTAACCAATATGTTTAGCATTATGGGGATACATGCTTTAATTCTCATATGACCTTGTCAGGCAGTTTTTTATAAAGATAAAAGAAAATAAGCTATTTTCCTAAAGTTACACAGCTAAAATATTGAGTTATTTCTGGAATAACTAAGGGTGTAATTGAATACACAAATGTTTGAATGTAAAAAGGGTCAAATTCTGTACTTTTCTACTTAAAAATCAACCACATCTTCACCAAACTGCACATTCTAAACCTTTCCCCCTATCACCCATTCCTCATACATTGCTCACTTCCCCCTCCTCCTCCTCCTTCTCTTCTTTTTCTTCTTCCTCTTCCTCCTCCTCCTCCTCCTCCTCCACCTCCTGCTCCTCTTACCTCCTGCTCCTCCTCCTCCTCCTCCTCCTCCTCCTCTCCTCCTTCTTCTTCTCCTCCTTTTCTTTAATTAGGTGTTGTTACCTGTTTGTCTGTTTGAGAATGTACTCGGTGATAGACAGCTTGCCTAACATTTACAAGGCCCTGGGCTTAATCTTCAGTACTGCCAAAAATCAAACAAAAGTTATTTAAGTCTCAAAGAGCAATAGGATATTACAACCAAAAATTTGAAACAATTCTAGAAAAAATCTTTTTTTGTTAGTTATTTGAAGAACTATCAGGGAGTCAGTTTAATTTCTAGCAGCCCTTTGGGAACAAACAAGAAAGCCCCAAGTTCTAGCTCTTCATTTCCCAGAAAGTCTCCTAATCAGTAACAACTTCCGCTCAAGCTAATTGCACAACATATACGTGCTAGAGTCCCGGGAATGTTCAGTTTTATCTTATAAAACGGTCTGTTTTATTGCAGACACATTTAATTAACTTTTATTTCCTGTCTCAAAGGATCTTTGTTACAAAGGTCGGCATTGGCATGAAGGATGCTTCAGGTGCACCAAATGCTATCACTCGTTGGTGGAAAAGCCTTTTGCTGCCAAGGATGAGCGCCTGCTCTGCACCGACTGCTATTCTAACGAGTGCTCCTCAAAATGCTTCCACTGCAAGAGAACCATCATGCCTGGTAAGATCTCCAGGAAGCGCTGCGCTCTAACTAGAGCTGCGCTGCTTTTTATTAAATGCCGGAAGATGAGTGCAGGGCAGACAGAGCCCTGAGTCTGAGAAAGGCATCATCCTTGCTCTCTCTTGATCTTGTTTCATATATTTTAGAAAGGAAAGGATTGTTTACTCATTATTTGTAAACAGGTAATTTACAGTGTTCTGTTTTTTAAAAAATTAACTCAGAAATATTTTGAAGCAGCCTGAGCTGTGCAAGGATAAAATACACGCCAATGGCACTACTTTGCAAACCTTCCCTGGGGGAAGAAAAAATGACTTTTCGGAGGTTGGAGCCAAGTGATTTTTTGTCGCACTATACAAACTGGTATGAGAATCCATTCAAATCGTGCCACTGTTGGCAAGTATCTATTGTTGCTTCAATACATTTTGGTCCTTTTCTATATTACTATGAGTACCAGTAAAAGAGAAAGATATTATTTCTTCTTCTTCTTCTTCTTCTTCTTCTTCTTCTTCTTCTTCTTCTTCTTCTTCTTCTTCTTCTTCTTCTTCTTCTTCTTCTTCTTCTTCTTCTTCTTCTTCTTCTTCTTCTTCTTCTTCTTCTTCTTCTTCTTCTTCTTCTTCTTCTTCTTCTTCTTCTTCTTCTTCTTCTTCTTCTTCTTCTTCTTCTTCTTCTTCTTCTTCTTCTTCTTCTTCTTCTTCTTCTTCTTCTTCTTCTTCTTCTTCTTCTTCTTCTTCTTCTTCTTCTTCTTCTTCTTCTTCTTCTTCTTCTTCTTCTTCTTCTTCTTCTTCTTCTTCTTCTTCTTCTTCTTCTATTCCCTCAGCATTTCTAATATCCCCTCAATAACTATTATGGCCCAATTTAACTAAACCATTTGCAGCCATTCAAATTCTCCACTTCAAATATTTTCATATGTCTAAATTGCAGTTTTTGCAAGGCTTGGAAGAGTTTCAGCTAATGAATGAGTGACTTACTGTCATCATGGCTAAACTATATTGACTTTTCTTTCCTCAGATAAACATTTGTGAAATGTTTTAAAAAAGCTATTTTTATGAAAGGACAATTAATTTATTACCTTTATATTTAAAGTATATATTTTGAGTAATGTGATCCATAGTTGCTTAAAGAATAGAAAGTAATGCCTGACTTAGACTAAAAGATTCTTACTTTTGGGATGCAGGCTCTCGCAAAATGGAATTTAAGGGAAACTACTGGCATGAAACCTGCTTTGTGTGTGAATATTGCCGGCAACCAATAGGAACAAAGCCTTTGATCTCCAAAGAGAATGGCAATTACTGCGTGCCGTGTTTTGAAAAGGAGTTTGCTCAGTATTGCAACTTTTGTAAGAAGGTAATAATCTAAAGAGGATGAAGCTTATGGAACCTTCCAGACAATTCCTTTTTAGCTGCATCATATATTTAGAATGAACTAACACTATCATGTTATACACAGCTAAGGCATTCATGTTAGTGAATGCCCCAAACCACCAGCCATCACGATGAGGTTGGCTACTTATTTTTATTAGCTATAAAATTTCACCCAGAAGATAAATTTAACCCTCCAAATAGTGCAAGTGATTTGGTATTCCAGCTCCATTTACTGCTTTTATGCAGGATTTTATGTACTCTGATTGAGGTTGCACCTCTGTTTGAATACAGAATGTTTCTTAGAAAATAATTTTTTATCTATTCAGTGTTAACTGTTTCAGAGAAATATGGATTTGCCTCACAGCATGACTAAACAAGCTTGGGTAATTTGGTGTTTTACACCTTACATTACATTCCAGTGAAGCAAATGCCTTATTGGCTTGATGCTTTTGTATTTTCAAAGTAGGTTGGTAGGTTGAAGAGAGTGACAGGATCACGACGGACATTCAATAAACATAAAGACACAAAAAAGATCAGGAGCTACAGCCTACTCCACTTCTGATTCCAGAAAAAGTATGGCCTTTGTATCTGGGTTTCCATTCAAAGCACATTCTCCAATAGCAAAAGAGTAATATTCTAGAAGAAATTTTGTCAAATTAGTTTTTAGCCTCTAAGCTTTTATGTGAAAATTGGCCTGTGTCTATCATCTTGATGAAGAATGTGTTTCCTGAAATATATATTGATGCTTGGGAAGAAATTCTTGACCTGGGAGGCATCATAAGTTTTAAATGACACTATAAACTGTGATGAGAAAACTAACTCATGAAAACACATTGGATTAGTACAGCAGTTCCTAAGCATATATGATCTTTGGGCTACTTTGTCCAATCTCTTAAAACCATTTGAATGTGGACAGTTTGAAGTTTCATTATCACATTCTATATTTTTACATGTATTGACAATACCAGTATTACATTTAAGTTGTAACAAATACAATTTCCTGACCTAAAAGTATTAAATTGCACCATCATGATGGCTGAGAATCACACTGGATAACATGATATGAAATAATTTAATATACCGGAAGACCTCCATTTCCTTATGAAAAACACTGACATAGAAAATAATGTTGCAGACAACAGTGAGACCCTACTGCCCTGTGGCATAACAACCTTCACTGAGTTACCAGAGTCAGTGATGTTTAAAAACAAGTGCTACAAATAAAATGAATCAGTTTATCCAGTTTAGAGCGACAACTAAGTAGCCAATTTTAGGCCTCCTTTCTTAATGACTAGGCTATAATATTAATGAACCTTGTCAGAATATCCTAAAATGTGTTGAATACAATATAAACTTTCTTCCAGTGTTGCTATAAAGACTCAACACAATAACTCCAAAATATTAGGGGTGAGCAATATCTGATGGAAAGCCCTGGCATGTTCCAGGTTATAGAAGACTATGACATATTTAAGATATGATGTGAAGTCATCAGAAGTTTATGAAATGCTTATGTTGGGTAGTACACAGATTATGATATACCATGTTATTTTCTATTTAATTTTTAAAACTATAAGTTCCTGAAGAAAATACACATTTTTAACCAACAATAGAAATAAAATTTTAACCCAAATCAAAGACAAAATTTCTTTCTTAAAAAAGCTAAAAGTACTTGACAACTAGCCCCATAAACATTTTTCTACAGATTCTATTTTGCTACACCAAAATTTATTTTCTACCAAAAAGAAAATGATCTCAGATTACAAGTACTTTGAATTCAAATTCCTCAGAGTTCAAAGAGAGTTAAATGTATTCTTTAAAACTTTGTGTATCATCTACTGCAAGAAAAATCATTATTGTCTTTACTTTACCAGAGAGAGAAGAAACTTGTTCTCAATCCTGAGATCATCAGTGACAACACCAAGTTTAGATATTAGACTTCATCTTAGCCTGCCTAACTCTTCAAAAGGAATATAATCACAAGCAAACTACTTTTAACATTCCAGTTTCTACTCCTTAATTATACACACTTTGGTGCATACATCAAGTTGTATTTAGCTTTGAATACATTTTTCAAGTTTCAAATCTTTTAAGCATTGCCTGCTAACATTTGACCAAACAAATCAAAGGAATTGTAATTTCTGCTGTGACTGCTGTAAGGCATTTGAAATCAGTAGGGGCGTTTTAAATTGCTTTACTTCGCACACCATTATACTTCCCTTCAGTTACTCAGAATAATATTTTATTCCTTTAGGAAATATAATTTACATGAAATATCTTTAATTATAAATGTTTGTTATAAGATTAAAAATATATTTAGAATTTTTCAAAAGCACACATTTTTTAATTTGTCAGCCATAAGGTGACTTAAAGGTTAAATTTCATGCAATGTATGTAAGGTTATCTCAGATATCACCTTGCTTTAGTCTTTAGAAGATATGTGCATGATAACATTCCAGTTTTCTCAGCAACTCTCTAGTTCATTTGCCATGGATTTGAAAGACATAGTTATAAAATAGCTACTGCAGAATAACTGCACCCAATATTTATCCATATGTTTGTGAACAATCATGTTTCAAACCCCTGATAAATAGCACACATAGATTCAATTGATTTAGAAAAATATATTACTTTATGGAGAACTAAGAAATATCTCTGACCAAATACTACCACATGTGAAGGCTCTGTGTAAAACTAATGCCCTTATTTTGAGACCTAAAGCTGAAAACTCATCCAGCTATCCACAATACCCCATGTACTAGACACAATATTGGAATTACTTCTCAGAGAGTTTGTCTTTCAGAATTCGTTCATTCAAAGAGGACTTATCAAGTTGCTATATGTGCAAAATGACCTCGACTCAGAATTGTATGAATGGTTAAGTACATGAGTTGTAGAGTCAGAGTGTGCAGGCTTGCACGTCATTTCTCTGAGGCCAGGGCAAGTAATTTAACCACTCTAATCATCAGCTGTTGCTCATCTATAAGCGGGGGTGGAATAAGAGTATCATGAGGATGAGGAGGATGAGAATAAACAGGAGAGGTCAGCTTTCAGCACAGTGCTGAAGACTGTAAAGAGCACTTTAAATATGTAAGTCTTATTAACAAAAGAATTCCATTCAGTATTTCTACTCATATGCATTCTTGAAACTAGTATAAAGGAAAATGTGGATTTTTTCATGATTCTTGAAAGTTAGGTATTGTTATAAGAACATAGTGTAGAAATATCTTAACTATGATGGTAAATCTTTGAAGATTAAAATAGGAAATCTGAGATAAAAAGGAGTTAAATCAGGCATCTGTTTTGTTTTGTTTTATCTTCCTTAGTCCACAGTGACCCTGCCTTTCTCTCTGATCCACTGTAGGAGAAAATTAGAATGATTTTCTTTTTTTGCCAGTTCTAGTTAATCCCTATAATGTTTGACTGCTCTTATTGATTCAAAAACATTACAAAAGTTTCTGAGGGAAAAGGACATGCTAACAAGATGATAGAGTAGTCCAAATCACCAGTTGTGGACATAGAAAAAAGTCAGGAAATGGTTTGAATTATAGTGGCACCCACATTCACTGCCTCTTTGTGATCCTTTGATAGGTGATAACTTCTGGAGGAATAACATTTCTTGACCAGCTATGGCATAAAGAGTGTTTTCTATGTAGCGGCTGTAGGAAAGAGCTTTGTGAAGAAGAGTTTATGTCCAGAGATGATTATCCATTCTGCTTGGACTGCTACAACCATCTTTATGCCAAAAAGTGTGCAGCTTGTGCCAAACCTATCACTGGTAAGTTCTTTGGCTCAATGATCCTTACCATAAGACAGAACTGTATAAAATGCTACCTAATTAATTTAGGAAATGCAAGGAAAACATGTAAATCTTTGAGATAAACACAAGTGAGACCCATATATTTAAATATTACATGGATCCCCAAAGAAAAAGAAAGAGTATAATTTGGGTGGCTATATTCCATTTAAAAAATCCCTGAAAAGAAGTTAAACACTATATCTAATGGTACAGATTCTAAGTCACAGTTCAAGGAAAGAAAAGAACAGGATGAGCTAAGAGGCCAAAGAAGATCATAATGTGCAGGACTGATTTGAGACACATCAGGGTTTTAATGAGAGGAAGGGATACTAATAAATCAGAATCCAGTTTAATTCCAAGCAAGGGCCAAGCTGACTTAAAATACAAAAAGTTTTAACTAAGTGCGACTAGTCTATAAAATATCTGAAGCTGTAGTGATTAGGACAGCATAGATCAGGAATTAATTAAACTTCATTGTAAGATGTTTCTAACATATGTATTACTCTCATAGATCAGGAATTAATTAAACTTCATTTTAAGATGTTTCTAACATATGTATTACTCTCTTTTTTCTCTATTCACTTGCAGCAAAATTTAATTATGAATAGATGAAAGAAAACAATATAAAATTATACTGAAAAAGCAATATATGTGAGATATTATTTGAAAAATAGCATAAATGGGAAATCAATTGAGGTTTTCGAGATTTTAAGAAGGCGAATTATATTTTCCTTAGAACTATCTCTAAGATGCTAATCTTACAATAAAGGAACAGAAGCCAGCATGATACTTGAGAAACTCAGTAGCTATTCTTGCAGGAAATTTATAATCACTTAATAATATGACAGGACTCTATTTCTACTCTCCATTCCCAGTATTCTTTTATTTTTTTCTTTTTATTGAGGTTATTGGTACAATCTAGGTATACAATACAGTTACATTCATCATTGGGATTCTGTACCTTTACATAAGAGGTCTTGATTCTCATTTTTTCCCTTGTCCCTGCCCTCCCTTCACCCCCTCTTTCCCTCCCCATTTACACTTTATTTCCATTTTTTCATTTTCTCATATTTTTTTCCTCTTCCTTATTACCTTTCCCCTACCCTTTCCACTTTCCCTATGCCTTTAGCCCTTTACTTCCTATTCCACATTAGTAATTATCTCATTAGGATCCTGTGTACTATTATAGTTTTTCACACCAAAGAAACTAATCGGTATTTCAGTTAAAGAAATCTCCGTATGAACATTAAAAATAGGGAATCCTAAAATAAACTAAAAAGGAAAGTAAAAGAGAAAAGGCAATGATATAACATCAAAATAATCCTTAATTCTGGAGATGAAAATGGTCCCTGAACATATTTAAATTGCTTCTCGCTCTTATAGTCTTATCTTATTCTTTTTTTCATTATTTAGAGAATACTTTATTAGTTTCTATAATCAAACCCACGTAGATATGACCTTACATATTTAGTACGATGTGTTACCCCTGTACACATGGAAAAAAAATAAAAATAAATTAACATTTCTAGACCAATATGGTTGCCCATTTCTGTACAATGCCAAGTCAACACAGTAAATTGGGATGACTTTTTCCAAAGTTGGCAGCACCATTAAAGTTTCCCAAAATTCAATTTATATATATATATATGTGTGTGTGTGTGTGTGTGTGTGTGTGTCTTCAAATATATATAACAAAATATTAGTTGATCTTTATGCACCTGTCAATGAAGGAAATTTTTGTTACAAATCTCAGCTTGTAGGCTTTTACCCACTTGCAAAGGACAAAGCAAGTCACTTGGATAAAGCACAGTCCTATCAGTATATGCAGGGCACTATATATTTCAGAATCTCACACTGCCCTGTGAACAGTGTTTGGCCACCATGCAGGGTTTGTTTAGTTTTTACATATTTGGAAAAGCAGTTCATCTATATCTTCAGCAAAAAAGTAAATGAAGAGCTTGCCATAGGTAAGCAGGCTGCCTTCACACTCCCCAAGCAAAAAAGCTGTCACATGTAGCAGAGCAGCTGCCCAGTTGCATGGCACGTCTTCTTCGTCCCTCATATCTGTCTGTGCCACTCAGCTACAGCACCTTCTTCGCCCTTCACAAGGACTTGAGTTAGCTATTCCAGACCATTGGCCTTCAGAGCAGGTGGCTCCTAGCCACTCTTCTCTTCACCTTCTATACTTCTAGAAGCTCCAATTGCCAAGGGAACAAGCCACCATCTCTACCACTTTTAGTTAGGAAAAGGGACTTCAGATATTCGACAGTAACTGCAGCTCCAAAATTTCCTAAGTAAAATCTACATTTACCCAAGAGTCAAAATGTATAATAGATAATGTGAAATAGGAAGAAAAGGTCCAAAGGGGAAGAAGAAGGGGAATAAAAAGTAGGGGGAAAGAAGAAGAGAAAAGAATAAATACAAGAAAAGGGAAAAAATAGAAACAAAGTCTTTGCAAATAGGAGGGGTGGAGGGGTTGAAGGAAGGGCGGGAGAATGGGGAAAAAATAAGAACCAAGATATATTGTGTAAAGGGAGAAATTCCAAATGATGAATGTCATCATATTGTAAAATGTACCAATAAAATTAATGAATAAAAAAATCTGCATTTACCATTTATTCTAAACTTTTCTTGAATTGGGCTAGAAAAAAAGGCAATACTATAAGAAAATGAGAAAATTAAATCATTCAAAATAGTTTTCACCATTCTCTGGGTATCTTCTAAAGGCTAGTAGTGATCTCAAAGAACCCACACAAATCTTGAACTGGATGAGTTTCAATTTTGACCCATCACAGATTTTTCCAATGAACTGATTTTTCCGATGAATCGCTTTTTAAGTTCCAACAGAAAAACAACAATTGTTCTGTACAAAAACCTAAGGATGATCAAAAAGGAAAACTCAGGCCCAAAAGCAACCCACATGTGGCATCACATATTTATGTAGAATAGTCAGTTTGAAAGGAACTTTAATAATTATTTCAGTCTTCTTTTGGTTCTATAATTGAGACACCAGACACTGGTTCAATATTTCTAAACCTAATTGGTAAATATGAATTGGAAGAAATGCTTTTTTAAAAAATTGAGGTGTTTGAATTAATATATCATGGTCACTTCTGATACAGCCATATTTGATCTCCAGAAAATTGGGTACTACTGCATTCTTTTCAAGAACCAATGTGTTCTTATCCAAAGGACAAATCTATCTGTGTATCACTAGGTAAATCTTTCAATCTCATTACAATTAACTTGGTTGCTTTTGAAAAAACTCCAGATGTAAGTATGATTTGGTCTCCCATTTTAAGATAGTATAACATTTCAAATCATCTTCAACAAGTGAAGCCACTTAATGTAATGAAAGTGCTCTGGACTGGAGAGTGAAAGATCTTTGTTTTGCTTCTGCCCTTGGCTGCTCTTGACCATGTGTGAATGACTCATGTCTGGAGGTTCTCTTTGCCGTATTCACATAATGAAGAGCTGAAAAGGATCACACACTAGCTTTCTTCTGTGTCTACTTATTTAGATGAAAATGAGTTTCAAATGCTGTAGTTTATCCCAAGAGAGATGCTAATGTTCCTGGTTATGTTCTTTACAAACTGAAAAGCTAAACTTTAGATGACATTAGTAGCATCAACTCTGGACCGACTCCCTAGATTTGAATCAGATCTGCCACTTCCAATTAGATAAACTTGGACAAGAAACGGAACTTCTTCATCCCTCAATTTTAGTCTACAAGTGAAAGATGATGCTAATACCTACCCCATGAGAGTAAGACAAAGACCAGATGAAGTAAAAAACACATGAAGAGGTTGGAACAGAGACTGGCAAATATTCACAGGCTGAGCAAATGGTGCCTTTTGGTCTACTGGCTCATCAGGAAGAAATGAAACCCGTTAAAACAGGCAGCACAAACCAGGTTCCTGGATGATTGTCTTACTGCAAAGGAACCTCATGATTTAAAGGAGTAAACATCTCCAAATTTGAAACAATTTACAAATATCCCATATGTTGAAAAAGATCTTTTTTAAAGTCCTGCTGCCAGATGTTCTTAATCTAATTCTAGAATATTCCACATTTGGCACTTATACTATATATACTAATAAAATCAAGAAAAAATTTATGAGCATCAAAGTGTTAGACATGTAATAATAATATGAATAGAGATGACATATGGATACATTACTCTTGCAGTCAGCTTATTAGTGCTTCAAATAACTGTAAGGTAGGTAAGTGGTATACTATTAATTTACTCTTATTAGGTAACATCATAGATAAGCAAGCTAATAAATTAATCAAGAAAAGAATATAGAAATATGGTGTAAATTTCTCTATGAACTACTGCACCCTATACAGAGTGATCAAATACATTTTTAAGGATGAAAACAAAAGTTCATCCTAGTCAGGGAGAGTTTATCTGGAAGAAAATGCTTATTCACTCTTTTGGCTTCACCATCCCAAATGGAATATTTAGAAATTATGTGTAAATCATTCCATAACAATTCTACATGGATGATAAGCAAATCATAGGAATCCTGTAGCTCTGATCCCTGGACAAAACTTGTCACATAAATAGATCCAAGCCCAGGATATACCAACTTCTTCATAACTTCTGCACCCTTTCTCTTGAGCAATATTTCAAATGCTACTACTCAAAAATGCAAAACAATAAAAAAACTGCAGCTCAAGTGAAATCCAGGTTGAAGTGGTAGAGGTGAATGAGGCACTTAGAAATAAAGCTCTGCATAAAATGGTCACACTGGCTAGGGTGATTAGACTTATAGGTATTCATTGCAATTCTAAGCTGAAGGTGTTTCTGAAAGATAATAAGAGTCTCACATTATGAGAGCTGTTTGGTACATTTGTCTAGGATTTCCTATTTGAGCATTCTCAAAATTGTGTCCCAAACCACAAAATAACCATAAGACTTGCTCTAGGTAAACCTAAGCATGGAAAAATAAGAAGAGAAAAAAAAAACTAAAAGTATTAAAACACTATATATTTGGATAGGAAGTATACATTTATTTCATTTTCTCTTCATTTTGCAGCCAAGAAAACTAGGTCATGCAGAGAGAAAAGGGAAAATATTCATACTTAGATATCCCTGACTTCAAAACCTTAAGGATCTTAGACAATTCTTATCTCTTTCCAAATATATGTCATTGTATATCAGAATTCTACTTCTGTAGATTTACAGCACAGGTTAGCAGGGAGTCCTACTGGGTCACTTGGGAGGAATTTGCGGTACCTGACATTCCCAGGAGCGCAGCCCTCTTTCTGAGGTTACAGGATTCTGCACTGCCTCACTACTGTGTACTCAGTTCCTAGAAGACTACCTGTCAGAAAGCTCGATTTTGCTATTGAAAGAATGGATTATTCTCTTTCTCCAATTCCTTTACAGGTCTCAGAGGGGCGAAGTTTATCTGCTTTCAAGACCGCCAGTGGCATAGTGAGTGCTTTAACTGCAGAAAGTGCTCCGTTTCCTTGGTGGGTGAAGGCTTCCTGACCCAGAACATGGAGATCTTCTGCCGGAAATGTGGCTCTGGGGTGGATGGTGACATCTAATCTTTCCCCACCTGAAAGCCACTTTGCCTTTATTCTCACTAAATCCAGAACTCAGTTGCACTTGTATTTTTTACTTACCGCTTAGAAAATGTGAAAGTAGGGTTTACAGCAGAAAGTATTTTACATCCATCGTGGATGAACTGTATAATAAGGGCACAGAAAAGCACAAATGCATAGAAATCACACAGTCACCTCTCCTCACAAAATACTGCTCTCAGTTGTTAGAAACATGGGAACATATCTCTTTATAATCAAGTGCATCACCTGCAGCTTGGAGTTGTGGATATCATTTCCAAGGGCTGGGGATTTAGCTCAGGGGCACCGTGCCTGCCTTTCAAACACAAAGTTTGATCCCAGGAACACAGAAACAAAAACACAATATTATTTCTGAAGAATGACATTTCTGAAAACTGTAGAATAAAACAAAAAAAAAATCAGACTGAAAGGTCCGCATGGGGTGGATGTATGCATTTCTAGCTAGCTAGTTATATATTACATGATAGATTATGAATGGTAGAAGAGATTTATAAGAAAAATGACTATCAGTTATGGCATTTAAGAATTACATTATTTTGAAGTACTTTGATCTCACACACTGTTTCCATAGTTAGTTGATCCCTGTGTTCAGTTGGTGGAATTTGAGAATGGTGAATGTTACAGCTCTCCTACTTTTCGTAGGTATAAAAGGGGATATTTCTGCCTAGGGATAGCCAAAGCAGTGGTTTCAATGCAGCTTGTCTCAAAGCCCACACTGATTTTTCTAAATGCTTACAGATTCTGTGAAGTGAAAGTCTATTCTTTCAAGAGAAGCTAACCATGAAAATGGTTGTCCCAGAGGCAAAACCAGAAAGTAAACAAAACATTAAAATCATTACTTATGGAAATGAATTGTAGAGAAGATATTGGGTGTTGGAACATGACTTTCATCCAGATATCTAAAGGCAGAACAGAATGCATAATTAGCTCCAAGTCTCGTGGATTTTGCCTTCTGAAATTACAAGGATGATTAATGGACAGATATAAAAGTGGACTTTAAAGAAATCTAATAATAAATTAAAAGGATAATTCATTGTTTATAATTCAAAACCTGTGAAGAAACACAACAGAATAATGTGGGCTATAGATGACTTCTTCCCACTCTTCCTCCACACCAGGGCCACCCACCTTTCCCACACTCAACCATTCCCCACAGCTACAATCTGCTGCATGACTGGGAGCTTCCCAACTAACCCTAAGCCGGCATTCCAAAGTCAGTCAATATGTATTAGGTCACAAAGAAAGAACGTCTTTGTGAAGAACAAGTTATTTGAAAACTGTACTCCCATATGTTTATCTTTGTATCAGCCATCCACTAATTAGGAGCTACCCAGCTCTCCCCAGAAATATTTCCCACACTGTGAGGGAAAATGGAAAGCAGCCCCTGCTCTCCATGATCAGTTATCTCCTTTGTTTATAGCAGATCTTGGGTAGGATAGAGTGAGGTCAGAAGAAACTTATCTAGACGTATTTGTGTGCCTCTTTCAGATTGCTAAACAGCATCTTAATGCCTCCGAGTAAAACCTGATTATAGGCTGTGACTGATTACAGTGATTGAAATAGCATCACAGTTGGTACAATTAAAATTATTACAGAAACAATTTTTGAAATGCTTTTATATGTAAAGATTCCAGAGATGTTGACTACTTGGCATTACTAATAAAAGGTCAGGGTACACAGATTATTTGCAAACTAAAACTGCAATTAGCAATGCCAACATATTTTCTTAAATTCCCATGTTAAAATGCTGGCCAAATTGTTAACATTTTGCCTGTTTTATATAAAATTGCACATCAGAACAAAATATGCCAATTATTCTATTTTCTAAAAAATGAGAATTCATTACATCTGTAGAAAGCTAAGCCATTCAAAATCTGTATAGTTAGCACATGTAACATTTTCTCTGTTAATCAAATTCAGGTAACTATACAATGCATAATGTTTTCTTAAATAATTTGTGATATTTAGACATTTTACTGTATGTGTGTATATGATCAGTCTTCATTTTATCTTTACAATTAAAATTTACAGCATCACTTCCTTTTATTGTCCTTTGATAATATAGTTCAGTATGTATGTTTCACATATAAACAGTTCTATATTTAGAAAGTAGCTTAGTCACCAAACAGGTATTTAAACATGTGCTATTTCTGAATGAGACTTCACGCTATTGACGTTCTGAGCTGGTGGGAGGGCAGGAGGGTGGATTCAGATATGAAAATATGCAAGTGCCAGATTGCACAGTTCCTTCCCTGTTAGTGAGTAGAAGGAACACTTTTATGCCACTGCAGCCACTGGAAATATATTCTGTCGTATCCTAGAAGCATTATTGGGAGGCTCCAAAGTTTTCTAGACTTTCCGTCAATTGGAACTAATTGTGACATATTCCACATTCTTTAAATGTATGTAAATAATTCTGCAAAGGTACCGATGCTGTAAAGTCAGAACAGTTTTGTGGATTTTTTTCTCCTTTTTTTCTCATATTATACACCTTGTAGAACTCACTTTGCTATAGAATAATATATCTCATGTCATTTTTTTGTAGAAGATAAACTATTTAAAGGTAGTTTTTGGTTTTCCCTACATGTATCCACTGTAAGCGTTTGTAATATACAAGCTCAGAGCTTAGACAGAATTTTTTGCATTTGTAAATTGACTTAAATACACGGAATTTTATACAGGTTTTTTCCTGTGTTATATATGCATTATGTGCAGGGATGATATTTTCTTCACTACTTTTTCTATCTTAATATAGTGTAGAATTTTACTGTATTATTCTTCCATTCTTCATACTGTACCACATTCCTGTTCAGGAACTCCTCACTTCATATTTTTCCCCCCAGCGTGAAATGTATCCACTTATAACCACCTATTGCCTGTTCTATTGGCATCCAACAATGTGGAAGGCCTCCCAACCACCATTTCTGCTGTGTCTTTAGGATGTGCAGTAAAAAATATAGATCTAACAGTTTATGTTATAGAATGGCTTTATTTACTTTGGTGACTGTTTATAGTTTTCTTAAAAAAGACAAAGCACCACTGTAGTCATAGCACACATACGCAAAACAACTAAGAAAGAACTCATTATATTCACTTACACACAAAGATGATTATAAAAATCATAGTTATTTTCTTGATTTATACAATAAAGAGAAGAGTTTACCTGAAAACAAAATGTGCTGTCTTAGGAAGGAATGGACTCCCTGTCACTCAGGGTGAGATTTGCACAGGCAGGGTGCTTAGAAGCAAATTTTCAAAGTTGATAATAGCCAGATGGCTTGGAAGTAGCAGAAAAACTGTGCCAAAGAGCAGGAAGAAGTGAGATTGATAAAAGACAAACGATCAGAGGAAGGGAGAATATTAACTTTTAAGAAAAAAAGGTGTATAACAAGGCCATAGAAAGTTACCACTAAAGGGATCCTGCCAATGTTTAAGAAAAAATATGCTAACCACTGTGTGTGGAATAGAACTGAAACAGGCAGATTTCCAAGGGTTAGATTTCTTATCTCAATAATATTTGGTTAGTTGCTACAAAAGTGAAAAGAGACACACGACCAAAGATAATGCAGGCCTAGAACTGTATTTGTTGATAGGTGATTATACAAGGCAACAAAGCAAAATATTTTATTTCCTTTTGGTGATTAAATATGGTAAAGGAAAAAACAAAAACTAAAAGTTTTGAATTCCATGTTAATGGGTAGGATGTCCAAAGCATTTTTAAAATTTAACAAGATCATAAAAACGTTATGCTGGGAAAACTAGCACCATTAGTTAAGTGAAATATGATCGTGCTAAAAAAAAAAGATTCAAAACTCAATAGTTATTATAACTTTTTAAAAAAGAAATATTTCCTTGTACACTGCAGTAAAAGAGTGATCAGTCATTGTGAAAAATGCATAACACTGATCACAAATGGCTTTCATAAAAAAATCATTGCAAAATTTAATCCACAAGTGAAAATTCAACCCCAAAATATGTGTGATGTTAGTAATACCATTTTTTAATTAAGGAGATAAAAGTATTTTTAATCTACTTGGCATGTTAATAAAAGTTAATATATTAAGCTAGAAAATTTATTTTGTGGTATTATTTAGATATATTTAATAGAACACATAAATTACCCTCTGGTACATTTGTGGATAGATGTTTATTACTACAATAATACAGCATTTTTTCTTGTTTTACAAACTGTAGTTTTCAGAATTTTTTTCATCCTGAATAAGTTTTCATTTCACACAGTGCACACATATATAGTTTCTGAGACTTTTTTTTTACACTAACTGTGCAATAAACAAAATAGCTGTGGGATAACTTCTGCAATGTTTCTCCTATAACATAGGGCACATTATGGCCTTGACCTTCTTGATCTACCCTTTTTACAATGTTCAAATTAACTACATTTGGCTATCACCACAGAGAACTAGAGAAGAAGTAACATAATTGAATTCTGGCCGAAAGAATATTCCTCTCCTGTTAAGTTATGAGAATAAGGTCTGTGTTTCTTCCTCTGGTGACTGACTTCAGAAATTTTCTAAACTAAAAATTATTATTTTATTTATAATTGTTATTTATTTAGCTCTGGCAACATTCTATCAGAAATAGATCACCTGAGTTAGATTTTTCTGACTCACTCAATAGGTTTTTGTTAATTTCTCCTGTGTTACAGGAATTATTAAAACTCTTGGTTGCTTGAAACATTTATTTATTCTATCTAAAGCAAATTTTGTGTTTATAACACTAACTTTCATGAAACTTTATATAAGTCACACTATAAGTATCACTTAGTTCCACTCTGGAAATACCTTAAAATATTGAATTTTCTAAATGTCCAAGCAAAAAAGTATTTGGAGGAATACCTCTCATCTGATATTTCTTTTTTAAATCATTGTTTTGAAAAGTAATGAAATCATTATGGGTACTAAAAGATAAATCTTATATGTTGAAATATTGTATCTTCGATAAAAGAGTCAGAATAGCACTAGAAATTATGGTTTCCAGGGAGTTAACCTTTATCCTGAACCTTTTCTCTCACAAGCACTGAATCTTTAGGTCATTATCCTTCCAGAAACACTCAACACTCTTTTCCCTCTAACAGATGGAGTCAAAGAAAGCAGTAGTGCCCTTGAAGTCCTAGCTTGTTTGGAGGCTGAAACAGAAGGATTACTTGAGGCTAGGAATTAAAAAAGGCTAGCCAGGGAAATACAGTCAGACCACGAGTGTGTGTGTGTGTGTGTGTGTGTGTGTGTGTGTGTGTGTGTGCAATGTTTGGAAACTTTAAGCAATATTTGGAAATTTTAAGGTTGTCTTTCCACAGAGAGATGAAAGAAAAGCATCAGACTTGGGAAAATGTGTCACAAGGATAGAGGTGACCTCAAACTCCCTAGAAATTACTCAAGGCATATTTTCTCTATCGACATAACAAAGGGTTACCAAGAAAGATACTAAAAATCTTCGTGTGAGCCACTCAACTCAAAATTTAGAAATCAGTCTGTTCATCTGTCATCTATATAGCTTCTTAGAAGAGCCTATAAATGTATCAAACAGATAGAATTAGAGGAGCTCTTCATCAGAATTATAACCATTCTGAAGTTTTCTGGCTGACTAGCTTTAGAGCAAGATATCCCATTAAATATGGAGGTGGTAGAGTTATTTCTAAAATTGGAAATCAAAAGAGGGAAAATAAACAGATTCATGCTCACAGTTGAGTCTATTAAAAAAACAAAGATTTGTGTATTTGTAATGGGTTGGATATATCTGTGGTTGAGAAAAGGAACAACTCACTTTGATAGAATTATGACCCATGTCACAGAGGAGCAAAGAGTATTTTGGTCAAATATTTTCCCATGAATGGTAATAAACTTATGGAGTAGATGTCCATAAAGGGTTCACTGAGTGAAGAACATTAATGAGCTCAACAGACATCCATTCGATGACTCAAATAGTGACATTAAATGCTATTCCCACCACACAGAAGTAAAAGTCAAACTTTATATTTATCAAGGTCCACACACTAAATCCTCAGTGCTTATACTTACAAGACAGCCTATTTCCAGGCTGCCTCTCTAACATCAGTGATGGGCTGTTTACCTGACAGCTCCAACTCAAGTTCTTAAACAGGAAGAATAAAGGGGCAGGGACAGAAAAAGGGGAGAAAAGGGTAATGAATTTTTAAAATGGGATTACTGAAAAAAAAAAAGAAAATTAATAATTCCTCCCCTTAGTGGAATTTATTGTCAGATGTCACCTAACACGGCACCAAAGTAAATTATCTTTTCTTATTCAATTTCCTATACTGCTACTATTTTGGGCCTCTCTTTGTTCCCTCAAAATGCTCCATCCAATGATGTCCATGACACCAGTCTCTCCTCTTTCTCCTACATCTCTGCTTGCCTCACTGATGTGTCATCCTCCATCAGTTTCTTAAAAACAGATATTCCTCAATATTATCAAGCTTCTTGCTCTGTGTTTCCTCTTTTGTTTAACTCATCTAATTTCATAATTTCAACTACCTCCTCTTTATAACTGAGTCCCAAATCTGTGTCTCTCACCTTGCATTCTCTTCTGAGTTCTGGATGCACATTTCTTGCTGCCTGTTTTTATATCTACAACTCAACAACTTATTATCCTTCTCATCAATTCCACATCTTTCCACATTCTTCATTTTAGTTAATGTGTGATCCAAACAGAGCTTTTAGAATTGAAGTCTTTGGCAAGTGGAAATTAGCCATTAGAGAGATGCAAATTTAAACTACAATGAGACAGTATTTCACATGGACTAAAATGACTACAAATCAGATAGGCAGTAATGGGTACTGTCGAGAATATAAAGAAACAGAAACCTTCATATATTGCTGGCAAG